AATCTTTCTAAGAGTAGAATGTAAACGTTTTAAAACAATAACTGAGAAAATGACATGAAGGCTGTGTCGACCAGTTTGATGGAAGTATTTCGGATTGCATGTGAAAACCCCACACTGTACCCCAGAAGTGCATTAATGTACATAGTTACCATTCAATAAAAAAAATAAAAAATAAAATAAAATAAAATAAAAAATATTGATAAACTAAGACTACAGAGATGGAGATAAATGGTAGTATTCACTGGGTATCCATCACAGGTATGATTGTGAGGAACTGAGTTCATCACCAGTTAACTCATTATAAAATATGAGGTATTTCATGTTAAGAGAACTATTGTTCCATGTAAACTATAGGGTCTCAGATAATAAATATCTGGGTAAGAACCACCTATAAGTGAAATTTTATGTATTTTAATCCAAGTTATGAAGTTTGAATGTTTTGAGCTTTGAGGAAGAAAAGTACTATCCAAACACTAAATGTTGTATGAAGTTCACTAATACAGGTTAAGAGTTTCAAAATGTATATATAAGGCTTTATATTACATACATGACTTTCCATTTTTCTTTTGACTTAATAAAAAGAAAACAAAGCACTCCAAGCCAAAACACTACTCTTTAAAATACATAAGTTTTGGAGCATTAGATTTTTGTTTTTCTAATTTTGCTTATCTAAGATTTTTGTTTTTCTAGTTCTGGTACTGGAGAACTCGCAATTCCATAAAAGAACTATGAATCTGTAAAGCAGCTCATTTCTTCACAGCTTTTCTTGAGACACATTAAGGTCATGATAAAATGTAACTTCTCTTTCATAATACTGTGGATCAGAAAAAGAAACTAAGGAAATAGACTATAGTAAGTGGGAGAGAAAATGAGAATATCCTTTTTGTTCTTCAATTCACATTGTCTTTCTCACATTATTGGCTTTCATAAACATAGTCACAGAGCCAGTGACAACTATAAACATCTTTAGGTTGCCAAATTGCTAATCCCTTTTTATTTTTATGTTTTAAAGAACTTAAGATTGTCTGTCTTCTTTGGAAATATGGCATGTTTTAGACCTATACCAAAGCTTAGAAAAAGTTCTCTCTCATGAGTTCCTAGTTTTTATAGGCAGCAAACATAAAACATCTGCTGGGCTTAATATAAACTTAACTAGTTTCATCTAATATACCTTCAAGCTACCTTAAGAGCTCAACACACTGGAAATGCTTAAAATAGTCCACATTTATTTCAGTTTCAGATGCAAAAATGGACTTCATAGACATATGCCATATGTTCTCCTCTCATGCCAAGTTAACAAGAACTAAAAGACTGAAGATGAATAAACAAGGTCAACTTCAGCTGAGCCAAATTAGACAACGGAATAATTGTCAGATTTTCTGTTGGCAGGGACAGTTTGTTTTGAGCCAATCTTCGTGAATTATAGGCTGTAATTTTTTTTTTTTCCTGGTAGGTCTACTGCCAGGCATTCTGTTGACAATTTCTTTGTTGTATAAACACTGAAAATTTTCATCAGTTATATTGTTTATAGGCACACACCAGGATTTTGAATAGATGAGTTTTTTTTGTTCCAGCTTAAATGAAAACTGCTTAGATACAAATCAAATAAAATCAAACCAAAATTTAACAGCTTTTAACAGGATAGTATTACATTTGGAATTTCTTAGGTATGAATGCAGATATAATAAGTAGCAGGAAGCTAACTGATAACTTATTTCAATTAATTTATAACAGTAAATATCAAGGTAGTTAAATTTGCTCCAAATATAAAGCTATTTGCTATACAGTATAATTTTAGACCTTGAAAGGGGTAATCTAATATGAATGAGGAAACTGAGGTAGCCAGAAAAGTTGACTTATTAGAACTACAATAAGTATCTTGGGGCAGTCCCAAATCTAGTTAATTATTTTTAGTTTAGTTCTAGGATCCTTTATTTTCTTTATTACATTGCCTTTCTCACCTTGTATGATTCCCACCCCCCCCTTCTACACTGTTATTTCTTGGAGTTGTATAATTCTTTTTAGTTTCCAGCTCAAAAATATGAAAAAACAACAATATGAATAGTACTATTAATGTCAAAGAATAAAGTCTTAGCAGGTCAAAAAAGTAAAAACCAACCCTTTGAATACTAGTAATAATGAGGTTAAAATTAAACTTTGATAAACTAAATTTACCAAATATCATTGACTTGTATACTTACAATGGGTAAATTTTAGGGTATATGTTAAGTTATGCCTGAATAAAATTGTTTTTAAAAAAATAAAGGAAGTGGGGCTTCCAGGTAGCTAAAGATAATAGTGGTTATCTATAAACAGAACATAATAAAGAGAAAAATAAAACTACATGACAAGCATGCTCTCATCATGAACTGAAGACTAATAATGTCCAAATTTTGAAATTATTGTAAATAAAATGGAAAAAACAGCAAATTCCCAATGTATGATCTTATCTCTCTGGCTTCTGGTATTCTAGTAGATAAAAGCATGGGCTACAAGGAAAGTGCTTTAAGGTACCAGGTCATTTGAAGAGGCAGTTTCCAAAATGATTCCCCTCTGGTGGGGGGAGGTCTTGAAGAGTAGGTGATACATAAGACACAAAGAGAGGGGCACTTTTTGGCAACTGGGTACGAAGGACAAAGAAGCATAAGAGGAAATACTTAGAGTCCAAATGATAGTTCTAGACGTCCCGCTTTCAACAATTTGCCCCAGGTCCTGTGGCGTTTTTAAAAAGTCCTGATTTTTGGAAAGAGTGCATGAATGGGTGGGAGAACAAGAAGGGAATATATGGTTTTCGGCTGCCATGTGGCTATTTCACCAGAATATGAGTTTTATATTATTTTTGTTAATTTTATAATGTTAAACTGTAATAATAACAAATAATTGCTGAGAAGTGATTATTGAAAACTGCTTGTCAAAGTTTGCATTGTTGTCAGGCCCTGCCCTGCCCTGCCCTGTCCCCTGCCCCGCCCTCCCCCCCATGTTGTCCCGCCTTACTGATGTTAAAATCTGGTCACCCTATTCTACACCCTCACTGGGAATATGTGGCAAGCGTAATTAGACTTTCTCTAGTTCTTTCATTTCTAGGATCTCCCTGTTTAATGTTGGCTAGTTTGCCATTCTGTCATTTGCCCTAATAAGGAGAGCAGAATTGTAGCTTTTTCTCTGTTCATTTTTTTTCAAGTTGGTCACTTTTACTGACAATCAGTTTGCTACTTTTTTTTGCAGTGCTGCTAGGGAGGGTTTTTCCACCCTTACCTTCATACCAAGTCAGTGTTCATTTTCAAAGCCAGTTCTACCCTGAAAGAATTTCTACTTCAGGAAGGGGAGGAGGATGGGAGCAACCTCAGGCAAGAAAATCGCAGACTCCCAGTTTATTACTAGAAGTACACTAATTTTTCATGAATAAGTACCTCTCAATTTGTTGTTTGCCTTTGATTTTCAGAGCTCTGAAATGGTACAGTAGTTTTTGTCCAGTTTTATAACTGTATTTTGGAGAGATGATTTGCTGACATCTAAATAAACTCTGTCATTGCAAATCCTACTTCTCTTTATTTACTGTTAATTATGTAGTTTCAGGCATGTTTCTTGAGGATTTTATAGGAATATATTATAACTGATATATATGAATTTTAGAATGAGGCCTCTTTTCATAATTATTGCAAATAGGAACCTCAAGAACAGGAGTACAATCTACAGACAAGCAAATCTGGCCTGCTGCTTGTTTTTGTAAATAATAGTTTATTGTAACAGCCACTCTCATTCATGTATGTATTGCCTATGGCCAATTTCATACTCTAATAGCAGGACTGAGTAGCTGTTAGAGAGTCTATAGGACTTAGGAAGCCTAAAATATTTGCTATTTGACTTTTTACACAAAAAAGATTGCTGACCCTTGCTTGAGAGCATTATCATCATCTTAATTAACATAATTATCACTATAAATAACACTATTACTTTTGTCCTGTATTTTTAATTTCACCATTTATGCTTTATCTTCTCAATAAAATCCATATGGCAAATTACACAGATATTTAAGTTATAATTTATCAGATTTCAAAAATTAATGGTAAGATTATGTTAAAGAAGTTATGACTATATAAGCTATAATTCAAACTACATGTTCTTAAAACTAATATTTATTCAAGGTAATCTAACAATCCCAGAATTTAACAACAGAATAAAAATAGATTAAATATTTTATAGTAATTTCATTTTGGCCTAAAATAAGATTCATTTTGACAATATTATTTTCATATTCATTTCTGCCTCCATTATTGTCTGCTCTGAATGACCAAACTACTGCTAAAACTTAGCCATGAGAAATGGCACATTCTTTTCCCCTTGACGTTCTGAAATATTCTTATTTAGCTATTATAATAGTTTTCCATTTGAACAGGTAATATTTAAATTGTCCAATACTAAATACTTTCCTTTATGCAGCAATTTCTTTAGTTCAACATTTCTTACCTGCTAGAGGAGCCATTCAGTATTTGTTGAATAATATGTCTGTGAGTTGAATAAAAGGGAGGGAAATTATCAAGACATGAGTCTTCCTCTTGAGGTGCTAAAGATAGGCCATCAAAAGTGTCATTTAGCATACACATATCACCTCTGTCCAAGGGCCCCAGGAGTTCTGTTAAAAAATGATTAAGATATGAGTGAAATACAAATATAGTTTCTACCAACTTCCTCCTAAGTAAGACTGCAGAACTTTCACATGTCCCAATACAACTTTTTTCTTTACTTTGTCAATGTACTATGTAGCACACAATGGAAATCTGGTAGTCCCAGTCCTCTATGGCTGACTAGAATAATGAATGTTTAAGTTCATATTTTTTGAAAATAATTTTTATCTTGCCTATTCATAGTGTTTTTACTTGCAGTTTATTAATCAACTATTCCTGTTATTCAATTAACAGAATTTCATTATCTTAGAATACTGTAAGGAGCGATTATCTTAATCTTTCCAATGTAACACATAATTTGAAAAGGAAAGGAAACTATCTTTTTAAATATGTGATTTCAATTAGCATTTTAAAGTATATAGGGAGATATATAGAATAATATTGGCAATTTTGGTAGGGCTTTGTTTTAAAAAATTATTTGAAACATAATGAGTTGTGGAAAGATATTTGTTGTAAGAAACATAAATCTTATTAAAAATGAAAAAATTCTTAGGACTACTATGTGTATAATTTTTACCATCTTAATCATTTTAAATGTACAGTTCAGTAGTATTAAGTATATTCACATTGTTGTACAAAAGTTTCTAAAACTTTTTCATCTTGCAAAATTGAAACTATACACATTAAATAATTCCATATTTACCCCTCTCTCAGCCCACAATAAGCCCCATTTTATTTTCTGTTTATGTGAATCTGATCACTTTAGATACCCTGTATAAGTGATATACAGTATTTTTGTTTTAGGGACTGGCTTCATTCACTTAGCATAATATCTTCAAGGTTTATCCATGTTGTATAGGGCAGCCTTCTTAGGGCTGAATAATATTCCTTTGTATGTATATACAATATTCTGTTTATTTACCTGTGGACATTTGGTTTGCTTCTACTTCCTGGGTATTGTGGATGTTGCAACATAGATGTGTAGATATCTCTTTGAGACCCTGCTGTCAGTTCTTTTACTTATATACTCAGAAATGGGATTCTCAGATTATATAGTAGTTCTATTTTTAATTTTTTGAGGAAACACAGTTCTGTTTTCACTGTGATTGCACCATGTTACTATCCCACTAATGGTGTACAAGGATTCTAATTTCTCAACATCCTCAACAATACTTGTTATTTTCTGTTTTCTGAAAATAGCCATCCTATGGGGGTGGGAGGTAATATCTTGTAGTTTTGATTTGCATCTCCCCAGTGATTAGTGATGTTGAGCATATTTTCATATGCTTGTTGGTCATTTGTATATCTTTAGTAGAAATATGTGGAATTAGGTCTTTTGCCCATTTTTAATCAGGTTATTTGCTTTGTGTCATAGAATCTCTTCATATAGTCTAGAATGGATATTAACCTTTGTCAGATAATGTGATTTGTGAATATTTTCTTCCATTCTATAGGTCATTTTTTACTTCATTGGTACTTTATTGTGTCCTTTCATACATAGAAGTTTTTAAGTTTGATAAAATCCTATTTGTAATCCCATGTATCTATCTTTGCTTTTGTTGTCTGTGCTTTTGGTGTCATATCCAAAAAATCATTACTATATCCAATGTCATGATGCTTTTCTCCCATGTTTTCTTCTGTGAGAGTTTTATACTTTGGGGTCTTATATTTAGGTCTTTAATTCATTTTGAATTAGTTTTTGTACATAATGTTAAAAGCATCCAACTCATTCTTTTGCACATGGATATCCAGTTTTCCTAGCACAATTGGACAGTTCTTTCTCCACTGACTGGTCTTGACACACTAGTCAAGAATTATTTGACCATATAATTGGAGATTTATTTCTGAGCTCTTGATCCTGTTCTTTTCCACTGGTGTATATGTCTATATTTATGCTAGTACACACTATTTGGATTGCAGTACTTTTGTAATATGTTTTGCAATTGGTACATGTAAAATCTCTAACTTTGTTCTTTATCAAAATTGTTTTGGCTCAAACAAAATATTGAAATTCCATATGAATTTTAGGGTGGAGTTTTCTATTTTTGCAAAGATGCCTTTGGGTTTTGATAGGGATTGAATTGAATCTATAGATTGTTGGGCTACATTGATGTCTTAATATTAACTCTTCCAATCCATGAATATGGGATGTCTTTCCATTTATTTATGTTTTTAAATTCTTTCAGCATTATTTTCTATGTTTCCTATGTAAATATTTCACCCCCTGGTTTATCCCTAAGTATATTTTATTCATTTTGATGCTATTATAAATGGCATTGTTTTCTTAATTTCTTTTTCAAATTGCTCATTGTTAGTTTATAAAATGCAACTGATTTTTGCATGTTGATTTGTGTTCTGCAACTTTGCTAATGTTAGGACTCAGAAAACAATACTACAAAATGAAGGCCTCAAAGGTAGACATTTGTCTCTGACCACTTGTCCTCTTGTCTCTCAGTCCATTCTTCCCTGAGGCTAGCCATAGAAACTAGAATCCTTTGTCCTCCAGGTATGTCATAAAAGCCAGAATTCCCTTCCCCAAAGCCAGCCATAAAACCTAAAATTATTCTGTATAAAATCTGGCCATAAAGAAATTATCTAACCTACCTTGTTTGACTGTAGGTATAAGACCCCATTTCAGAGACAGTCTTGCCCTATACCCAGAAAGAAGGAATGTATGCTCAGGTCAAGAAGAATCTAGATAGATAAGCTTTGTTAGGTTTCCCCATTAACATTAGATCACATCCTTAGGTGCAATCATGTTTCTACATAGCTATTCATAGTTTATTAAACCTAAACATACAAATGGACAATTTTCCCTATACCTTTGAGTCGTCATTCTGAAGGCTTCTGTGTAGACATGTTAAATAAAATTTGTATGCTTTTTCTTCTATTAATCAATCTGTTTCATGTCAGTAATTTGTAGCATACCTTTAGGGGACAAGATTTCCTTTTGTGTGCCTTGTATAGATATATTTTTTTTTTGTAGATATTTTCTTTGTGATTATTATTGCAATATGGAAAATACCTTAAACCTATAACAACATTTTAGACTGATTAACAACTTAACTTCATTTTATTTATTTATTTACTTATTTTTGAGATAGAGTTTCACTTTGTCACCCTCAGTAGAGTGCTATGGTGTTGTGCTCACAGCAACCTCAAACTCTTGGGCTTAAGTGATTATCTTGTTTCAGCCTCCTGGAAGGCTGGGACTACAGGTGCCTGCCACAATGCTATTTTTTAGAGATGGGGTCTTGCACTTGCTCAGGCTGGTCTCAAACCTGTGAGCTCAGGCAATCCACTTGCCTTGGCCTCCCAGAGTGCTATAACAACTTAACTTCAATTGGATACAAAAGTTCCACTACTTTCCAATTCTGTACCTCTTTATGTTATTGATATCATAAATTAAATCTTTATATTTTATATAAACATTAACATAAATTTAGAGTTTTTGGTGTGTATTTTATCCTTTATAGTCATACAAGGATTTAAAAAATGGATTTATGCAACAGATTTACAATAATATAGGATTCTATATTTGATTATATGTTAACTGAAGAACTCTGTACTTTCATATGACTTTGTGTTGTTGTATAGCATCCTTTTGTTTCAATTTGAAGGACTCTCTGTAGCTTTTATTGTAAGGCAGGTCTAGTGGTATTGACTTACACAGCTTTTGTTTATCTGAAAAGGTCTTAATTACTCCATTTTTGAAGGACAGTTATATAAGATGGAGTATTCTTGGTTGATAGCTTTTTCTTTCAGCACTGTGTCTATATTATCCATTCCTTTGGCTTACAGCTATGTACTGAGAAATCTAATGGTAATCTTATTAGGTTCATTTATATATAATGAGTTGTTTTTCTCTTGTGACTTTCAAGATTCTTTCTTTGATTTTCAACATTTTGTTTATGTGTCTTAGTTTCTTGGTGTAGATCTCTGAGTTTATCATAAGTTAGAGTTCATTTCTTGTTGAATTTGTATGTCCATTTCTTTTTTCAAGCTTAGGAAATTTGTGGCCCTTGTTTTTTCAAATAAGTTCTTTGTCCTTTTCTCTCTTTCTTCTCCTTTTAAGACTACCAGATGCATATTTTGTCCTACTTGATGGTGTTCCATACATCTCTTAGGTTCTGTTTACTTTCCTCATTTATTTTTTTCCTCCTCAGACTAAATAATTTCAAATGTACTCATTTTTCTGCTTGCTTAAGTCTGCTATTGAACCTCTCTAGCGACTTTTTTAGTTCAACTGTATTTTTTAAGTCTATAATTTGTTTTTCAAAAAATAGTTTCTGTCTTTGGCTGTTAGTCTTATTTCTGTCTTTGGCTGTTAGTCTTATTTTGCTCATGCATTGTCTCCCTGATTTTATGGTGTTCTGTGTGTTTGTTTTTTAGGTCACTGAGCATTTTTAAGACTGTACTGTAAATTCTTTTGTCAAGTAGCTTATAAATCCATAAGCTTTATGGTTGGCTTCAGGAGCTTAATTTTGTTCCTTTGATCCGGCCATGGTTCCCTGTTTTGTTGTTTGCCTTGTGGTCTTTTATTCAGATTTGGGCATTTGAAGAAATAGCTTTCTCATTTTTTATGGAATGATTTTATTCTGGGGATATATCTGCTTTGAGGTTGTACATTTGCTTCTAGTATGTCTGGCACTTTTGACTTGTATTTTCCTCTGTCATCTGAGGAGCTTTCTGTTTCTATTGTATTCCTCTGTCCTTGATCTCTTGCTCCCCCTGGAGCCTGCCTGCTAATGTGCTAGTGCACGTACCTCTGTTTTCAGTGGCCTCTGATCTTGTATTCAAACTATGCCACTGCCATTCTTACCAGTGCCCTGAGCCAGGCAGCCAGGCAAGACAGGTACCAGACCCTCAGGGAGCCCCCAGGCAAGCTAAAATGCTGGACTTAAGTTTCACACTATTTCTTCTATCTTTTTTTTTTTTTTTT